ACGTTGCCGCACCCTAGGATTTTCTCCTGTGTCGTGGGTGCGTTTACAAATATAGGTGCAAGTTCATTAAAAAAAAAATCCCGCAGCCTACTGACATCGCCGCGACCGCGCACGCTGCTCATGAGGAAGAACCCCTCTGTGGTTCGAAACTAGTATAGCTTTTACGTGATCCACGATTCTAAGTTAATTTAGTTATTATAAAGAACTGGCAATACCTGTTAATTTTCATCAAATTTAATATTATTTAGGTATTTGTGTAATTGTATGCCACAAAATGTCTACTGTTAAAATTAGAAAATAGACTTCAAAAAATGTATAGGCCTACAAATTTACTACATATATTCTTTAAAAAGCACTATTAATAAATACAACATTTTTATAGGCATAATGTTTATTATAAGACATCAAAGTTCTCCTTTCGTACATTAACTATCATATTAAACGAGAAATAATTACAATTTATCATCGCGTCAATGATCGTTCCCACTCTTTAGTACAAAATAAACAATTCCTAACTCCAAACTGAAAGTAGTTGAAATTATTTCCACTGTTTACGGATCAGTGATTTCCGAACATCCCTTATTTATATTTAAACTATGAAATAGGGTAATATTTTTTTAGATAGATAATCATAACAATGTAAGAGTAATTTTACGCTCCTGTGAGAATGAATGAGAGAGTGAGATACGGTGTAGAGGTCACAAAAGGGATATTACTGGAACCTTTTAAATTAGTTATGAGTTATGTTTAGGCTGCTTTTTAAGGGAGATTTTGAGTATAGAGACACGTGTAAAGTATTTTAGCTAGAGGGTCACACGTGCGTGTAATGTTAATACGGAAAGATTTTATACTTACTACGTTATGACCGCGGCTTCAACCGAATTATTATTTTGTGTTTGTTTGATTAATGTTACTATTCATTTCTTTTGAATTATCATCATTATCAACAATAGCCGAAAGACGTCCACTGCTGGACATAGGCCTCCCCCTTAGTCTTCCACGTTGAACGACAGCTCGCCACCAGCATTCTTGTGAATATTGGGATAGTAATTGGAGCCAGTGTTTCAATAGGGATGATGACAGGGTATGAAAATTAAAAATCTAATTAGTCTGTCAGTTAGGTAATAAAAAATATTGGACACGTGTTTTTTATTTTGTCGTATAAGAAAACAATAATTAGATAAAACGAATCAAAGTTTAGTAGTGGGAGGTAGCTACATTATTTAGAGTATAAATCGTACTCAAAAGTGACGTCATGCGATATTTCAAATCAATAGAGGTATAATATCTTCGAAAGTTTTTTTTTTAAACCTTGCCCCACACTAGGATTTTCTCCTGTATCGTGGGTGCGTTTACAAACATACAAGTTCACATACACAATGACACCCAGACCCGAAACAACAATTTGTGGATCACACAAAGTGTTGTCTCGTGCGGGAATCGAACCCGCGACACGTAGCACGGCAGCCAGTTGCCCAGCCACCGCACCAACCGTGCAGTCAAAATATTGGGATAGTAATTGGATCCAGTGTTTCAATAGGGATGATGACAGGGTATGAAAATTAAAAATCTAATTAGTCCGTCAGTTAGGTAATAAAAAATATTGGACACGTGTTTTTTATTTTGTCGTATACGAAAACAATAATTAGATAAAACGAATCAAAGTTTAGTAGTGGGAGGTAGCTTCATCATTCAGAGTATAAATCGTACTGAAAAGTGACGTCATGCGATATTTCAAATCAATATAATATCTTCGAAAGTATTCGTTTCCGTAAGAAAACAAAAAATACGTGTCTAATGTTTTTACATAATCTACTAGACGGACATTAAAAACAATTTATCGTCTACCCTATTATTTTTAATAAATTTGTTTTATACCAAAAACAACTAATGTGAACTTTATGAGCTAGTAACAGAGATGTAAAAAATAATTTAAAATATAAAATACTAGCCAGAATTTTATATTTTAAATTATACTAGCCAGAACGGCAATTTTGAACATTAACAAAAAATTCAAAGTGAAGCTACTTGCTCATTCCAAGGGATACATTCCTATGGAGAAGAATGAGCAAGAAACTCCATAGGTTAGTCTTCTTCAATCAGGTTCACAATACAATTCGGGCATTAGTTACATAGTTTTGTTTGGATTGTGTGAGAACAATGTAACACTAAAATACAGTCAAAGAGATCGAAAATAAAACCTTAAAGGACAGTAAAAAGTCTAGTATTTACTGTAGTGTAGCTGTAGACTGCCTCGTTGGCCAAGTGGTTACAAGTGCGACTGCTTGGCAAGAGGTCTCGGGTTCGATTTCCGAGTAGCACAAAATATTTTCGGGTTTTTTAAATTTTCAGTTGTAGCAAGGAGTCTGAAATTGTGTGGTCACACACAGTATATGGCAATAGACTCACTCCCTATCACATGGGACTAATAACATAAATAGAGCAAAGTGGATGTTACATTGTACAGTGGCATTAAGTGTCGTAATGTGCACCTCTAACCCTTCTACCCCTTAGCGGATAAAAGGCGTGATAGTATGCAAATTATGTATATATAGAATAAGTAGTCTAAGTAGTAGCTGTGTGTTATTCCAGACTCCTAATCTACTTCTGTTTCAAATTTCATAGATCTTGATTCGACAGTTTTGACGTGAAAAAGTAACGTATAAACTTTCGCATTTATAATAATAATAATAATCTTGGTTCAATAAATAGCACTCGAAGTTGTGTGCCAATATTAATAATAATAGATCAATACCTATAATAGATTAATAAACAATAATTTGTTTCAAATCGCCAGTCAAAAGGGTTAGTGGGCGTTCCAAATAATTCCATTCGGTTTGATGTTCGAGCTAAATTATTTAAGATGTGTAAATTATTTTATAGTCGAGCGGTTCAATGCGTCACTGGTGTATCGATGCGTGAACATTTCTAATTGTGATTGCTGTGTGTGAAGGTACTGAATCATTTATGTGTGTAAGGAATATTACGAAATCTTTGCTTAGGTAGGTAACATGTAAGTATCTACAATCTAGTGGTTACAATTAGTTAAATATTTATAGAAATTAGCAAAAAGTTTAAGGAGCTAATTATTATGTTTTCGGTTTACTCACGTAACTGTTTGGTAAGAAACTCGACTAGTTTTAAGTCATGCTAGAGGCTTTATTCATGAGCAGCATTCCGCGACCAGCGGCGCAGTGACAGTCACGCTGCCACTGGTTGCTTGACTCTGCGGCGGTACGGGTCCAATGCACCCTCTGCCGTGATTCACGCACAAATTTCCTTGTAGCGGCAGGGCGCGCGACACTGCTGGCACGCTAGGCTTGCTAGACGACGGCTGCGTAGGTGTTGTGTTCGTATCCGAGGTCGACGCAAAAATAATGTTACACACTGAGCTCACTGTGTCACACTTCAGAGTTTTAGGAGACTATTTAACAGGTGGAAAGAAGATCGCAGTTGACTTTTGTATTGAGACCAAGAAAAAGATGATAGCAGCGTCTTCATGGAGTAAGACTCAAGCTACAGAGAGCGTAAGATATATATAACTAAATATGAACCGTTAAGAAAATTCTGTCCAATCACTAAGTACTCATTTGTAACTCTCCTGCGGAATTTCGAACAGCAGTCGATAAGAACAGAGTTCGATCTTTGAATGACGCTAATCATCTACCATCAGATGATTCGTCTGCTCATTTGTCCCTCTTAGCTACTAAAGCAAGCCTTATCCTATTTGTTATCCAAAAACAGTAGCATATTAATAAACACTCTCCTTATTGTGACAATAAGCAGATAATTCTCCTTAAAACGCAATTTAGTCGAGAAAAATGAATCACTTAAGCGATAAAGGGCACTGGCCTAACGAACCATCCCCTCCTAATGGGTAGCGGTTAATGTGTTCTGTAGTCCAGCAGAATATGAGATATGGCTTTTAAAATATAAAACTGGAAATGCGAAATAATTTATGTAGAGAAATCCAACAGCCTCATTCGTTAAGTGGTCTGGCACAAACATTTCTGTTAAATAAGTTTTTTTTTCGCCGACTTGCTTTTGTAGTATCGTCTTTGTGTACAAAATTCGAATTAATAAAATTTCAAGTAGTAGTTCACTGCTACCTACTCTTTGTGGCATAACAACCATAGTAGTAAAATATTAGAGACCACAAACTTTATTGATATTATTTATAGCATGTTGTCAGTACAGTAAACTATAAATTATTCTTCGGTCGAATAGTTCCTGCTCCTGCACAGTTCTGTGTATAAATCATTTGATACATCACACAAGATCCTGTTGTTATAGATTGACTACAGGAAATTGATAGAATTTGCTAATAAGTATAGGTTATTTTCGGTCTCATTTTAATAAGAAATATGTGGTGCACGATCCAAAATATATGATTCTGGACATGAAACCACTTTTTAAAACATCGTCAAACTTAATAATGCTATTCTCGATACAAAGATTAAACACCAAGCGATTGAACAACAATGAAATTTGTTTATTTTTAGATAAAAAAAAAACATTGTCTTAGAAATATATTTTTCCATAAGGTAAAATCAAAGTTCAAAAGAAATGAATTTTTGATTCATTTTCATTCATTATATCATTAAAAATGTTTTTCCCATGGGCTGTTTAGCCTCCCTCGATTATTAATATTACACAGAGCCTCTGCTAAAAGCGATAAGGATGGAATAAATATTTCATAAAAAATGTTTTACGGAAAAGTTAAGGAAAACTCTTTGTTTTCCATTTAAAACAATGAAAGCCCATTGAAAAAATGGCGACTGTCCATCGTGACTCCAGTATCGTGGTAGCAGTTTAAACTTGCCACCCACGAAGCACTACTACAAGATGTAATTGAGTACAGTGCGGGGATTAATTGAGGCAGAAATGTATCAGGAGTGCAGAGCCGGTGCGCAAAGCTACGCAGGCGCGCTGCGTGCTCCACATCGCAGTGGCAGCCCTACTAACGCCTCGAACACTCGTACCCCTCACAACCGCCGCGATACGAACACGTTAAAAAGTGCACGTTCAATTTAGTTACAACCCTATCTTTCGAAAGTTAGTGTGTGAAGTGATTCGATTTTTATTTATATCGAAACCAGTGTTCGGATTTCAAAGTGCCGTCAAATTAGTGCTGACTGGAAATTGTGTGAAACTTTTCCTTCTAGTTGTTTGAAACTTTGTGACAGTTTTGTTTTTAAATTTTTTAGCAGTACTGTTGCGATTCCGACTTTGTTCTAAGTTAGAAGAGGTTTGAAGTCTACTTGATTGGGTGAGCTTTCCTACTTCTGTGTACTAAGTAGTTCGTTTGGTCGCTGTACCTAGATTCTTATCGATATAATTTGTATTGTGATCGGATCGCGGACTGGAAGGGATTGTTGATTTTATTTCGAATCAAATTGTTCGCCTCGAAGGTTTATCGTTTCTCCAATAATGACATCAAATCGTAAAGACATTTTAGGCTAATAGAGACGATATTAGAACGTTATTGATATCGTTAACTTTACCTAAAATGGGAGTTTGTTCAGTTTAATGTGCAAGCAATAATGGTTGTTGTTCACAAAGTGCAATATTTTAAACTTTTGCGTTTTGTGTAAACGAAGAGTGATCGGGTATTTAAAATTCGAAGATGAAGACATTTAAACTCGTGTATTGATAACTTAACTTCTGATGGTGGAACTTTGAAAAAAGATGATCTGTCTTAGTTACTAGTGAGTATTTTACTTGATACGGTATTTTTATATTTAATAGGGTATCGTTTGGCCACCATTTTGCCCGGTACTTTAAACTTAAAAGATACAGCGTCTTCTCTAATCATTGTATTTAATGTAGGTACTAACAACAACTAATAAATAACTATACTAAGTAAAATCATAAATTATTTTTGAAACCTGAAGCCTACTAAAGTAGACGAGTCGAGTGTATTAAGGTTTTGATAGCCAATAGAAAACTATTGAAGGCAATTCTCTGCTGTCTCTAGTGACTCCCATGGCGTTTAACGTATGTGTAAATAATAACGGTTATTAAACAACATTTTTATATGGTGTCTTACATTCTTCCGGGATTGATATTTTCCAAAGTTCCAATTAATAACAAATTCTACATTGTATTTGATGATGATTCATCTTAAACCTTAGTTCAGTACATAATCATGCTATTAACAAATAGTATTGCAAAAAAAAATCCACTAATATAAAGTACCTGGATGACTAGTGTTTTTTTTTTTTGTAAACGACATGTTCTGAAAATGAAACCTACCTAGATCGATTTATCGCCCCCGAAACCTCCAGAATGTGAATCGTTCCGAGACCGCTGAGATAATATACAAACATAAATACAAGAATTACTCGTTTAAAGGTATTAGATATAAGTACAAAACAAAGCACAAACCATCGTATAATAAATAAAATATACAATTTTGGTAAAGCAAACATATATTTTAGGGACAATTTCATTAAAATAGCTTCCTCTGTATCCTTCTTTATAAAGGTCGATGAAAAAAGTGCCTTCGCGGCTTGATCTCCCCTGTGGTCCAAAATGATTTATGTCAATCCACAAAGGGCTCACATCACTCTGTGTACAGACAAATTGACTTTTGTCGTAAACATAGTGTACTTTTTTACGCACGCACAGGGAATATATAAGCCAGTATGTAGTAATATATGGCGTGTAATATTTTACGAGAGTGCACATAAAAACTGTAATGAAAAAATCGTTTATATAACAGTTTTTTGAACACTGTGCAGTGGTAGTAACTTGAATGATATTGTTTTGGTTGCAGTACGTTAATAGTACTTGGTATTTTTACGTAAATATGTAAAAAAAATATTAATCAGGAATAACAGTTGAGATTAGTTTTCTTCTAAATATTTTCAATGCTTACTCACAGGCGATAATTTTTTTTTATCTTTTTTCAGGAAATAATTTCCTATGTTTAAGTTATCACAAAACGAATGCCGTTCTCGTTTAATAACAATTTATTTCAAGATAATTTGATTATGTGTTATCAAGTTGTATTTTTATCATTATAGGCATAATTAAATGTTATTATACTCATGAACAGTATGATGAGTGGGTAATGAAAATTGACAAGCCGATACTTTGATTCATCTTTTTCGAATAATTTTATTGGCTTTCCTACTCAATGCATAATATTATATCAAAATTAATGCACAACTCTCATACGGTATTTCATAGTCTTTAATTAAGTTGTTTACTAACAAGTATTCAAGCTCTGAATTTATAATTTCAAAATTTTGACATTCTTCAACAATAATTATTTTGAGAAAAAGAGATTTATGTCTCGCTTTTAATTTGAAAACAGGTCCCTACAGCATACCAATTTATCATCAGTAATTAAAAAAGCTCTCTCAAAAAATATTTAAAATACCTATTATAAAAAAATCAAAGATACGGGACAAAACCTAATAATTATAAAATCTACTAGTACTACAAGTAAACGTAATACTAAGTTAAGAAAAAAAAATCAAACATACCGTAGAGAATCCAAAAAATATAAAACCCACTGGTAATACCGGCAGATTAAAATTCTACAAAATATTTTACCACAATAGTCGACCTGTATCATATTAATACAATGTTTATCGTTCGACCTAAAATTGTAATAAAGTAAACTGAAGTTATCTACGTAATGCATACCATTTAACCGAAGAACACGAGGATAATCACCATACTCGTTGGAAATACGCCAATAATTCACAATGAACCCGGTTCTGTGGCTCAGCGTATATTAATCTAAATTCACACTTTACTGCGAATACTGCATAATATCGGAATGTATTATAGATACAAGAAAAATAAACGAAAAGTCGCATTAAGTGTGTATTCAAGTTTTAAATAACTGGAATTGTGCCCGGTAGGTATAGTTCTTAGTTTAACTCGTCGAGTACCGTCATCATAGACACAATTATAGAACAATAGGTTGCGGTCACCGGTGACCGCTTGCTGTTTGACAGTTTAAAAAGGATCTTATGACTGCTCAAGAAACAAAAGAATAAAACATGTTGTATCTATTTAAAATTTTATATTAAACCTTTCGTGAGACAAACTCGATTAATTAATCTGTTTTCGGCTTACTCATGTAACTGTTTGCCGACGAACTCGACTAGTTTCAAGCCATGCTAGAGGCTCATATTCATGAGCTGCATTTCGCGACAGTCGCCGCGTTGCGTTTCGAACGTGAATAAGTCGAAAACTTAATAATCCATTTAAAATTTTCACGAAAAGAGCACTTTGATGTTATTTACTTAATATTTTATAAAGTCATGGAATTTATTCAACAACCAAATCTACGTTAGGTATTATTTTTAAACAAGAACTTTAAAAACAATAAAATATGATTGTCCGTCAGTCGGCCCGTCAGTAAAGCAAAGCGCTCTTTTGCAAATTTGGATTCGTATGTAGAAATCACATCCCGAAAACATATCCCGCGAACCCTCGCGGCAAGCAATCACAAAACATCATTAGTATATTAATGGTAATAACATAACATCACGCCTTTTATCCCCGAAGGGGTAGGCAGAGGTGCACGTTATGCCACTGTACAATGTAACACCCACTTTTCATTATTTATGTGATGGGTCCCATGTAATAGGGGGTGAGCCTATTGCCATATACCGGGCACAATTCTAGCCTCCGTGCTACTATGTATTGAGATTTTTTTAAACCTAGTAATATTAATGGTAATACGGTTTCATTTCTGAAGTAATTCAGATATAAAATATTTTTTGATTTATATTCATAATTTTAGATATTTCCACGTTTATATTCGCATAATATTACAAAAGCTTTCAGAGGCACTTCAGAGTAGGTATCACAGGTGCCATGAAAATATCTTAACACTATCCTGAAAATTTCATGCTCTTAATATTACAGTTATTTTAGATGAAAGCTGATGAAACGCTGGATTTTATGAATCGTTAAGGTTTTATAACTAGTTAAATTAATATTGATATTTATTGGACTCATGTATTATGTACGATACACTGATCTTATAGTTTATTGATACATGCGCAGTGCGGATAGTCGGTAGTCACCCAGTTTTTGCTGGTTATGTTATTAACCTTAGTGTCTTAATAGGGTAGATGACTAATTTTTATTTTAATATCTATCTGGTAGATTATATTAAAACATTACACACGTATTTTTTATTATCTTACAGAAACGAATACTTTTGACGATATTTTGATTTGAAATGTCGCGTGACGTCACTTCTATGTACATTTTATACGTGTAAATGACGATTTAGCTCCCACTCCTAAACTTTGATTCGTTTTATCTAAGTAGGTATTGTTTTATTATACGACAAAAAAAATTCATTACCTAACTATCGGACTAATTAGATTTTTAATTTTCATACCCTGTCATCATCTCAATTACGAATGTACTTAGGGATTAAAAGGTTTAATAATATAGAAAATACTAGCACTTTGTTCAACTAGATTATGACAGTATTTGGTCTAAAAATAGATATCAAATATTGTATCCAAATTTGCTAAAAAAAGATAACGAGTTGTTTCTAAAATCAAAACCATTTTAAAATCTAAAATGATAATGATATCACACGATCACCTATAAAAAGGCAAACTGTAGTATATAAAAGAAAATAACAGCGTTATTCTATAAATAATACACGAATAACCTATTTTTAGTAGACCTAGATACATTCTAGTACTCCCCAAGACCTTACTTAGAGTAATTGGTCGGCCGTTGATCAGTTATTCCTTGGAGGAACTCGGTTATTGCAGAATAATGGAATCACTGGACTTAGTGTTTGCTAATGGCCACTATTAGCCTATAAATGTTTCAAACCTTGAGAGAAGTCAGCAGTGGCCACTTATATATAGTCAGATGGTGTGAGTCTATAATTGCAGATCTGATAGTGGAAATAGGACTATTTTCTCTTCTATTATATTAGAGGTATAGTTTCTGCAGTGTATCTGGCATGTTACCTCAAGCACACGTTGATGGCTTCCATGCCATCATCAGACAGAAGTTTGCATCGCTGCTCTGCAGGGTGCGGACCAGTTCTCCATCCTGAAAACCATTGCAGGGAGGTACAATTCACCTATAATACTTACATGGTATCGTGTGGAGTTTTTTTTTTATGGAATAGGAGGCACACGAGCAGACGGATCACCTGATGGTAAGCGATCAGCGCCGCCCATGGACACCCGCAACACCAGAAGAGTCACAGGTGCGTTGCCGGCCTTTTAAAAAGGAATACGCTCTTTTCTTGAAGGTTTGAAGGTC